TTTTCAGAGAACACAAGTTCGCTTTTTAACGTTTCTTTTTTTTCGAACTCTCATTTCTAAAAAGGATAAATTATCCTGAAATGTAATAAACAAAAAACGTTATAAAAAATGTTGGTTTCCATAATATTTACACGGATACGTGAAAAAAAATATCACTTACGTAAATAAAAGTAATATAATAAAATTTTTTTACAAAACACAAAACGTCAACATGGTCTCAATGGAAAAATTCAACAGCAGCTAGGTATAGCATAACTGTTTACTTTTTTTTTTAGAGTATATTCACATTTTTGTGTTACAAAAAATTCGCTGAAATTATAAAGTTATTTTTCATTTTAATAAATCAATGATCGATTTTCGTTTGTGTAAATGAGACGCCCGCGAAGTCGGATTCGAGTCAGATGTAATAAAGCAATTTCGCGCTCAACTGTGTATTTTCAGACACGCGCTTATCGCTCTCAGACAGTATTACAGACTCAATCGAGGATCCGATGTTCAGAGTAATATTTCTTCGGCGTACAACTCGAGCGTTTCTCGCGCTTTTAAAATTTCAACGTTATTTTTCCGCGCGCTCTTAAGTTCAAATTGAAACAAAAGTCGACGACGACGATAAAGGCCGGCGCGAGAAATTTAATGGAATACGTTCCCTCGGATACACGTCAGAAAATGAGTGGAAAGATGCAGATTGTACCTGTGGGATAATCTCGGAAATATTTTTCCGTCGAGAAGGACTCCAATTTGCCGGTATCCGCGCGACTCGCGTCCGACTCGGCAAAGGCGAGTTTCTAATTAAAAACATCATCTTTACTGTATGCACTTGTCTACGTCTGTTACTCGTACACACATACATCGTGACAAAGTCGCTGTTGGTCGCAAAATTTACCGTATCCTGAAATTCGGTGGAAACACGTCGCTCGTCTAAAAAACACGTTGACGTCACGTAGCTGACGTTTTGTTTGGGCTTGCACGCTCGATTTATGATGTAGGGACGTTACGGGGGTAACTACAAATTAGATTTCCGGGGTCGCTTTTACGCTGAACCAAGTCGCCGTTTTGCATTTAGTGTCGATAACGAATACAAATCCTCGTGAAATTGCTCGCCAAGTCTATTCAGCGGAATAAACGTAACGGGGTAACAACGTAATTTTCTCGCATGATATTATGCGGCGATAATCTGTAATAATACACGCAAGACGCGATTCGATTAACCCACAGCTTGCCCCTGCGATTATTATCGATACACCATTCGCGCGAGTTAATTTTCAGAACGAACGAATAAATTGTTTTCAATTTCTTCGTTAACGATTTTAACGATTAGATGATAAAAGATCATTCATTAAATGGATGCAATTATTGGAGACCGCATTTATTTCTCGTACATTTAGAAACCAGAGAGCAATGTTTATTTTCATTATTCATACAACGGGAAAAGAGTCTAATTGCACTAATTAGAATTCCGAGTGAAAATAGATAAATAAAAAAATTTTAGATTCTAGATTCTAGAATCTATTATATCTATTATATCTAGTTGAGATGAACCAGAATTCTAATTGATCAAATCTTCTGGATCGTTCACTTTTAATCAGAAGTTTTTCTCAGTAAAAAGAATATAAAGAACCGCAGTAATTACATGGAAAATTAAGTCCCGGTGAAATGAAATGGTTTTTCGTATTATAATGTAATTGATAATGTGAACAAAAGATGTCATAGAGGCAGATCTAAACACTCATACCGTAGACTAGAACCGTACACTAATGGAAAACTGAGTCCTGATGAAATGTTTTTTTTACATATAATGTTGTTTATGTACACAAAGGATGTCATAGACACAATAATGGATAACACAAGATTCAATAATGGATAATTTTTTACTTATGTATCAAAAATATAAAACTTATGTGTTTTGAAAGCACCTTTGATATATCATAGTTCAAAAACTATCTATTGTTGAACTTTGTATCTATGCCATCTTTTGTTCACATTATAAGTTATATTATATATGTGAAAACTCATTCATTTCACCAGGACTCAATTTTCTACATATAATTATTGCGGTGTTCTTTCTAAGTGTTTATTATAAATATCAATATAAAAATTAATACTTTAAAGAAAAAAATGTTTGTACACAAAAAAAGTTAATCGTTGTTAAAATCTGTCTACCGCATCACAGGAAATCTGACTCATTGTTTTCATAGTTGAATACAAGAGTCATACATCAAGAATTAAATTCGTTATCCTGTCTCTCAATGGATTAAAAATGATTGAAATAACTTTGAAAAATAACTTTGGAGGATATTATTTTTCGATCGTGATAAATGTGACATTCAGATGATAGCGGCAGGCATTTTTTCAACGACGAAATTAATGATCGCTATCTGTCTGACTGATTTGACAATTTGTATTGATTGTTGGAAAAAAATAGGGTGCTACAGTTATCGCTCAGTGTTACGATTATTCCGATAGAACTTACGTTTGAAGGGTGCGCGAAAGCACTTTCGACAATCGAGCGAGAACAGGTAATTAACGAAGGGCGGAGCGCAAGTTATTTATTGCGTTCGGCGTCGGATACTCACGCACCGAGTGATCCGACTTGCTACGCCGACTCGCAGGCGCGGAAAAGATGAATGGCCAATGGGGCAGGTGGCGGTAGAACTTTCATTCCCGTCACGGTCTTAAGTCTTAAGAAATCTTTCTGAGATCCTTACAATACAGTTGGGAGCACCCGTGTCGGTTCGCATCTGCGAGAAATAGATCGACTTTCTCCCGCCACGACCGGCTGGACCACCGTATTACGCGACACTCCGGCGATTACATGAACAATAAATCATGGGACGCATGTTGTTTTAAATATAATTTATGGTATAGACAGACGTGTAGCGATGTAAGATCTCTAAGAAGTAGGATAAATTAATATCTAATTCCAACTACAATTGTCTTACAATCCCAGATCCCAGTTTACAATACTTTAAGACTTTAAGATAAGACATAATTGTTTCCCCTTTTCCTAATATTTTAACAAAAACTTAGAAAACTTCACTTTTTGGTTTAAGTTATCAATTAATTTAAATCGATTTAAATATATCTAATGTGATCAATATATTGAAGAATTATATAGAAAATCCATAATAACCAGTCTGATTTATAAAAAATATTAATGAAAAAATAAATGTTAAATTAATCAAGGAGTATTTTACGTAAAATAATAAATATATAAATTTCGGAATATTACGCGCATCTGAATTTTATAAAAAAAGAGAATCAAATAATTATGAAAAAATAAATTAATGCAAAATTAGTCAAAAAACGCTTTTTATGATCAAATAAACGTAAATTATCATATAGAATATTACATATATCTAAATTTCATGAAAAAGGAAATAATATGTGAGACTCATTCTTGAATAATTTCGCAAATTATTCGGGCAAATCTCGTACAGCTTCGGGCAAACTCCGAACGGTAATTACACGAAATATCAGGCTTTTCGCCCGGATAAGCGCATGGCCCGCCGAACTTTCTGAGTTCCTCTCGTCTGGGAAGAACTAAAACTCTCGGGACGATATCTAATGGTCGTCGGCCAGAGTAGAGTGCTAGCGAATGCATCTCGTTTCTTCATTGCCGGGCCGAGAATGGCGATAGGAGAAGTTGCACGATTTCTACGACATTGCGGCACGCCGGAGAGAAGACTGTTGACATAATCGAGGAGATCCAGCAGCTTCCGACCGAAGTTTCTGCCGCCGCCGTCCGTGAAGTTCGCATAATTTCGCTAACGAAATATTCCCGCTCATTCCCTTTAATTTCCATAACTCGTTTATCGACCATTCAAGAAGAAGAAGAAGACCAAAAGAAGTTCGGGGATGCTTTTCGTTCTAGATCGTCTTTTTCGTCGAGAAGTAATCAAGAAAGACAAGTTATTCAGTCATTTGCTTCAAGGCTGCGAACGTAATAGGCCTTCGTATGTATGAAAGCTCGGAAAGAGAGAGCCGTATTAAATGGCAAGAAGATCATTTTTCTCTCTAAAATCTTTCTTCTTTAAAGAAATGTCATTCTTATTAAGTTTGTTTTTCCCTTCTCTTTTCATGGAAAATTTTCTTCTGAAATTTTATTAAAAAATATTAGCAAAAATTTTATTAAAATTATCAAACGGTGAATTTTTTCGCGAATTTTTGAGCGATACACAAGTTTGCGAGAGACGCAATTATTATTTTAAACGTAATATTTTATCAACACGTGACGGTATCTTGAATATTTTGTTCAGTCAGATTACTGCACCGGAATGTATACTAGGAATATGTATGGCGCTTGTATTCATTTATGCATAAAAATATGCATCACGAGTGGTCACCATTCAGTCCCTCTCGACCGTAAAACATTCGATTGTGATGATAATTATCACGTAATGTGTGATTAAGTCGATAACGAAATGTCGCGTATAATTATTAACATTACCGCATTTAATGTCATTCTACGTGAAATTATTGGATTTTCATGCTGAACTATTAATACGCATGATAGACGAAGATCGATCAGGATTTATGCTATCAACATTTCGCGATGGCTGCAGATTAAATCTTCCCTATCCCCTCAGATGATTAGTAGCGTAACTTTGCATATTCATGTATTCTAATGAATAATCTGTCGCAAATAAATTCATGTTAACTCCAAAAATATAAGAGCGTCAACAAATAAATACAAAGAATATCCTATGGACGAAAGAAATGGCGGAAAGTTTACTAAAGCGATAGCAAAATTATTGCGTCGTATCATGATGAAAAATGTTAACAAAATAAAAAATATTATCCTTCCATTTATTTAAAATTTTTTATTGTGACAATATTGATTTAATATTTATTAGAAAAATATTTTTTAATTAAATTCTTTGAAGGTGCGTGTTTCTTCAAAGAATTTAATTTTTCTGCCATTTCCTTTTTCCTCGATTTCATTAATATACATATAACAATTTATAAAAAATAAAGAAATCATGCATGTCAAAACGAGTCACCTGATAGCATTAAATATCTCGTGGAAGCCAGTGCCCTGATGGCTGGCGACGTCACACGTGGGTAAGGGATGCAACAAAGGCAGTCGATGACAGAGTACGCTGTCGCTATTTCTTTTGCTACTTCCATTGCTATCTCGATCCCGATCATTTTGAGGCAGAGGTCCGTTGCTGTTATTAGGTGCCGGGCCCAAGCCTAGGCCCAGTGGAAGACGCGGCAGAGTGGCGGGTCGTGTCAAGCTTCCATAAGCCGTTAACGCTCCTCTGGGTAAGGACGAGTAGCAGCGATTCAGCGGTAAAGTGCCGAGGGTGCTGGAGGCGCAGCCGCTGCTGCCAGATCCAGAACCTGAACCTGAACCTGCCGTGAAATTACCTCATTAAAATAAAGTCGAAATTTTACGATCTTAAGGTTCTAGAATATTAAATGAAAAATGGACTGAGAAATGTTCAATACAAATAAATGAAGAAGACCGTATTCGGCCAAAACAAATCTTGAGTGAGTCTTTATATTTTTTATATTAGCAATTTAATATTATTGATTAATGATTTGTTATATTGAGTGTTTTTCATTTGATGACACAAGTCAATATAAGTGTTATTCTATCTTCGTTACTTTCTGAATGTTAAGGAAGATAAAATGATGTTAGTGGTGATTTGTGTACCAAATCGAAAACATCAAATATAACAAATGCTCATTAACATTGATAATATTTACACTTTTGGCTGTAAAAAAAAGAAGAGATAAAAAAGAAAAGAAATAAAAAAGATAAGTAATAATATATAGCGGAAATTAAATTATATTACCTATGAAAGAAACGCAAAATGCAAAAGGTAAAAGAAGATTTTCAATGTTCAATATTCGTTGCAGGAATATTCGGAATCAAATATTAAAATGTCGCGCGCAACGCGACGATCACATTTTTCTCATTGCGATTGGTTTAAAGGAAAAGTTAAATAAGTCCGTGTGAAAAACCTTTATGACGCGGGAGGGGGGGAGGGGAGTACAAAAGATGGGTGAGAGTAATGCTAAATTGAAAAACCGAAAGATGGAGTTTATAGAGGATGATTTGTTCTTTTCTACGAGCGAGCAACGTGATGACGATACGTAACTTTTTATGAGGTAGATACCCCACACAATTTCCACTTGTCTTATCGATAGTAACCTTTATTAAAGCGGTATGTACGGAACATAAGCGGTGGTTACCGCCATGAGTAAATTTGTTTAGAAGCTTCTTTACAGCCGCAAATACACTTCTCGGCCACGGGTAAAATTGAGTAATTCTGTGAGCGCGCAATATCGCCATAGATTCTCTCGATTTCCTTATTTGAAATGAAAGAATTGATTATATATTGCACATATTTTTACGCTAAAATACAATAAAATTTATCATTTTATTATTTTACGTATGTTATATATGTATACCATAAACATATCTAGAAATAATATTTTAGTTTTTAAGATTCAAAAATTAAATTACGTTAATAATTAGAAATTTATTTTGCTACTTTTATTCTTTTTTATAATTCTTTATATACGTAATTATTTTATAAAAGAAACAAAAAAATTTTATTAAACAATAATCAGTAAAATAAGAATAAAATCTTGTAATCTATGTACATAAATATTTTAAAATAAATAATTCAATTATATATTATTATTTTTATATAATGTTATTTCAAATGATCTGAGAAGAAAGTAGAAGAATAAAAAAATGTTTGAATATTCTAGAGAGCAGGGAATTCGGATATCAAATCTCATAAACTTCTCCGTTCTCCAGTTTCATAAAGTGGCACCGATTCTTTTCGTCTCTCGGTGTCGATTTATCGAATCGGAGCGCAGATTTTGGTTACAGAGCGAATTTTATCAGCGTTAAACTCGTAACCGTGCGGTAACGCGTTGTTCTGTAATCGAGCCTGCTATGTAACGCGATCAATCAACGACAGGCCACGTAGGACGAGTGGGAATACACCACCACGTACGATAATCGTGCCATCGCGTCCGGTACATTGCAACGAACATTTCGTAATTACTAATTAAATTAGGGAATGTTTATCGCTCGAGTTTCGAGAACGCTCTGCCATCGCATCCTTTTAGAATTACAGTTGAATGCGACGAGCAATGGCGCAGAACTAAAAATATTACAATGTTATATACTCTTTTCTTTAATTTTCTTCTTTATTATACTATTAATCACTATTACATTTCTGTTTCTAAAATATTAGAAATATATATCGCAAAAAATTATTGTAATATATTCTGTTATAATACGAAATATTGCGAATAAAAATGAAAGTAACGAAAAATATGATTTATGTTGCTAAAAAATTAATTGATTAGGAGAAATAAGATATAAAAAATTTTAAGAAAATAGTTGAAAATTCTCAAATTCCACTAACAAAAAAAATAAATCTGAATTTGAAGATGGCTAGCCGAAACGTATGTTCTATATTCGAAATCAATAGTTAAACTATTTGGAGTTAATATCACCTGAATGTAAATAACACGACAAATTAAATATTAGGTGTTGGAATTAATTCGTAGCGTTTTACAAGTGATGGGAAGTACTTTCATTAATGTATTTTTTAATGCTCATGTGAAATAAATAACATTCTTTCATTAAAAAACGCTACGAATTAATTCCAACACCTAATATTACTTTTGTGATACCAAAAGGTTTGCGCTTTATCACCGTGTTGTGATTCATTACTAATATCAACGTTTCGTAAATCTCACACGTTCACTTCATCAGGGCGAGGAGCGCACTGATACGAAATATTATTTTTAATATAAAATTCAAGCACACTATTACGATCTTAATTCCTATCAACCTTTATTTTTCTTTATTTCAATTTTAATTACAATAAATAATTAAAGAATCTTAATTGTTTTAAATTGTTAAAATAAACCCTTTTTCTTTAAAATAAATCTTTTTTTCCTTCAACAAATGTAGTTAATACGTTTAAATTTTAACTACTTTAACCAGTGCTGCTCCTCTTTTATTTTGCCCTCCACAGCTATGACGATGCCGCACCGGTAACGTTAACATTGCTCCGGATATTCAACGAGGGATGTGCTGTATGTACAGTCAAACTCAAATGTGGATTCCACGGTACGGGATTGAGCGCTGGCTTAAACTCCTTTTTGGACGTGATCTCATCTGGGACGTGTATATCGGTCGGGGAAAATTAGATATACGGGAAAATTCGAGGAAACTGTCTCGCGAGATCCAGGATGAATATTAATTCGTAACACTCGTCGCGACGCGTCGCTTGGTTTCCTTCATTTCGACGAGAGTTTCATTCATTAAAGCAATATCCATTCTGGATCAAGCTAGCGCATCGCTCATTAAGTTTCTCGATCAATCCTGTTTTTTCTCTGCTCAATTTTAGAATCTTTATATCTTCCTGTTACACCTCGTAATTTGAAGTTTTTGATCTTTAGTTTGTAAAACTTGCGAATTCAATGGGTCTTTGGATCCTTTTAGAAACTTGACACTTTCGGACTCTCGAGGAACTCATCTTAGAAATCATTAGATCTTCGAGTGCTTAAACTTTCGTTTCTTCAGAACTTCTACATTTCAGCAAAAACATAAATATACAACAGATGCTCGAAAAATATTCTCCTAATTTCTTTTCATCAACATTTTAAGCAGCAATATAAAAAAAATTACGAAAGAAAATTACGATAATTCTAACTCTTAACACTTTTCGTAAATTCCGTTCAAGAACAATAAATGACAGCAGATAGACGATTTAGTCAATTGGATTTCAATGTCCCGTATCGTTTCCGCCTCGTTCAAAACTTCCGTTTGTTTCTGGTTACCGTGTGTACGTGCAAGACGTGTGTGCTTGGCCCAACCTTCCCCGGATTAATTACATCCCCTCTACTCCGTGACGAGAAAATCGTGTCCATCAGCCAGGAGCAGGGATTTCTGTCTTTGCTCGCACAGGCAGACAGTATTTGCTCTCTTTCTTTTCTTCTCTCTCTCTCTCTCTCTCTCCCTCCCTCTCTCCTTCTCTCTCGTGTATAGTTTCCAGAGACTTTCTAAGTTGAGCTGTTATAATAAGTGTTAACTTTTGTTCATGAACTTCATACTTCTACACACTCTTGAGTATGTGCTTAGACACGCGCGATGCAAATATGTCGTTCTTTCTCTCGTCCTCGTCCTCGTCCTCATCATCGTCGTCGTTGTCGAGATTAAATTGATGGACACCGCCGGGACACTGTCGGAGTTTCATGTAATAGGAAGTTACGTTGTAACTGGGGCATAAAATCGTGTTACGTCATACGATCATTCAGACGATGATTAACCCGACGAGATAGCGAACTCGCGATTTCATTAATAAATCATCAATACTCGTGGCACAAGAGTGATTACGATAATGTTAATTAGTTTGACGTACATTTTATGATGCCAAAATATGTCGTGTTGAAGCATCATGAAATATTACGTCGTAAATGTATGTAATTTTATTTCATATATTTATAACATGTGAAATTTATTTTAGGTATTTATATAAGCGCAAATAAATATTTCACGTGCTTCTGTTATTTAAAAGGATTGTAATCTGTCGTCTCTTGAAAAGTACTGCTTTTGAAATATTATATCATTTGTTATTATTATTTTAAAGCAATATCTCGACGATAAATATGTAATAACGCACAAGGTGTAAAAATAAAAGAGAAATTTCTCCACGGTGAAAGAACTTGTTCTTTGTGAAAAAATTTCGGTATGAGAAAAATGTTTGATATCGTGCGTTTGAACGTCGACTTGACTTATTATCCGCCAGCGTTATAAAGCCCTTTCACATCAATTTATTTTATTTGGACGTTTGATGTAGGAAATAAAAAAGAGCGTTCAGTTTCTTTTCATTTTAAATGTCTCTCGCACTCTTCTCTTTCTCAAGAATAGGCTGTAGAACAACAGGAATTAATTAAAACCGAAAATAAACTTATGTTTATTTAATCCAAAATAATTTTAATGTAATTAATGCGTATTGCGTAATTAAAATATTTTACAATTAATAATTAAGTTTTGATATTAATATACTCAAGATAGTTTTACCTCTTTCTGTCAATCAAGTTAATTCATAAATGATTTTATGAAGAGATATGAAAAGAGAGAAAGATAGAGAGAGAAAGGATATTAATTGATTAACGAATAAATTAATTAGCAGAAATCATTTCAATAAAGTTTATTATAAAATTAATTATTTCTATATAAATACTTATATGTACATTTATTATTGTGTTTGTATGCTTAATAATATAGTTTTAATTATTATTTCTGTCATACAAAGTAAAAGAAAGAGATGATAGAAATCTCTTGCTAAAATCATATTAGATTCATTAAAATT